ATAAATTGTCCTTCGTATAAAATCTTGGGTAGCTCTGTCAACTGATTTCAGTTTTTCTTTACATGTTTTTCGATTTTATGAATAATCCACAGCAACCCCGTTCGTGACTACCGGATAAACGGAAAATTTATTTACTTTAGTTAATTCAGTAATTGTTATTATGAACGCATTATCAGACTGCTGAATATTTTCCTTTTTTAAACATTCGAATATATTTAAAATAACTTGTTGTGTTTGAATATCTAAATCCTTATCGTTAAAGTCATACCTGTCTTTAATCTCACTACACTGTGCAATTTCATTTTCTTCATTCGCCCATGGTCTAAAGAACGCCATATTTATATTTATTAAAAGAAATTTAAATTAAACTAACTACACATACAAAACACACCGCACGACAGTACTCCACTGATATCGCAGACTGTCTTCCAGGAATATTTTCGAACACCTGCCTTCCGTAAACCTTCGGCCAATACAGTGCATTTAAGTTTACGATTCGATGTTTTCATTGGTAAACAACTGATGGTTCGTTTAATATTTACCGCTTTGTATAAGGGGAGTAAACATTATTTTTCGTTTCTTAATTTGGCATGAGTACCCGTGCGTATATATTAAATATTGATGATTCCCCACACAACTGTGTTCTGCAATTGATAATGGAAGGACTATAGCAAGTCTGTACCTCCGCCGCTATAGTGGTGGGATTAACCGAACTATTCGCTCCACCAGTTAAACATAAGTTATTTTGATTATCTAAGTAATTGTATTTAGAATTAGCATGGTTTGTTGATTCTGGAGAGCTTCGATTTGATCTTGCGAAACCTTCAGAAGCAATGAGCTTTTTTGCAAGATTGATAACTGAATAATACATGTTTTCAAGGTTATCTCTCTCTAAGAAGTATTGATTAAAGGTACCATTTTCGTCGGTTGAGCCCAACTCAATGGCGAATTGTAATGTATTAAATTATTCAAGAGAGTTTTGAATATTATTGTAGCGTAACTCAAGCTCGGTTATATCCTGAGCTTCAATTGAAAAACAATCTACGTATTTTTTTAAATCGAGTTATATTATATTTTATTCGCGTTTATTCTTTAAAAATGAGAGGTCTTCAATAAGAATTTCGGAGGTATGAGGCATTTTTTAAAATGAGATATGAATTTTCAATGTATTAAAAAAGATGTTAAGTCAAACAACACCTATATATTCTATATTTAGAAAAAGTGTTGTGTTGCTGAGAAAAGGTTTATATGCTTAGTAAATTATAAAAACGAGCCTAAATTCGTTTTATAAGTATTATTTAGTGTTGCCGCTAGCAGCTAAAAACATGTTTAAAGCATATAAGAAATAAAATCAATAAAATTGACTAAAAAAGAATAAAAAATGTAAGGTATTTTGGAACGGAAAGAAAATAAATGGAACGCACCCACCTCTAACGTCTGAGAATGTGGCTTATGACATCACCAAAATTTAACAGCTGGTTCCGGGCTTTTCTTTAGATAAAAACTTTTTCCACAGGTTAATTCTACATTCATCTCGAAGGACCATGAAATAGATTGGTTGACGGTTATTTTTATTATTAAATAAACACTACATTAACACTTTGAAAGTTTTTGTTTTTGTTAATATTCTAAGTTGATAAACTGTGAACGTGAAAAATTGTTGTGAATCTCTTCGGTGTGGATGAGAGAATGGAGAGTTCTGTTGATCGCGCACATCAAGCTGCCAATAGCTGTCGGCGTTGCCAGATCTGGTCGAAATATGTGAAGATAGGTATTTGTGATTAAACACAGTTATTTTTTACCGGGGAGGTAGAAGCCCACCAAATGGCCACTTCCAGAAAGCTACGTCATTAGCCTGCAAGGCTCTGAAGAGCCAAGAGGCTGGCTATCCCTAGAAACCTCTCGGTGACCTGCCAACCTGCATGCATTTGATGAGCTTAAACGCAGGTCCCATTAGTCCTGGGAGGATGCACAATGAGATTAGTGAGGCATCAGTACAGTGGGGACAAACTACCCCCTCCTTACAAATAAAGATGCGCGCAGATCAGAACCTGCTGTATATTTATCAGCGAACTTCAGCTACACTAAATATCATATCTCACAATGCTGACTTCTCAATCTGGTATTTAAAATGTGTGTTGTTTGCTATTTTTATTTTACTTTTAAAATAAGATGGTTAATATGCACCAAAAGGGTTTGAAAACTATATATTAATAAATAGATTAAACTTTCTATTATTACACAGAAGTAAGAATTGCAGGGTGCATTGTATTTAATTATTTTTGATATAATTCGTGTTTTTGTTGTGTTAAGAAAATAATTAATTATTTAACAGCAGCATTTATAAATTTCATTTCATTTTTGATTACAGTACCTACTACTATTTCTTAAAAAAAAAAGTTTATTGTTTGGACAATAAATGCTTTTTTTATGTGTTTACAATATTGATTTAATTTTTTAATTTGCCGAATTGTTCGTTACTACCTACATATTATGACAAATTTTGGTAACAATATCGTAAAGTAAATGCAATGAAATTTCCAATACACGTCATAAACTCATGAAAGTAGACGTTGCCACGTTGCTACAAAATTCGAGGATATCAAGAAACATTTTATAAAAACTAATGTTAAATTTGAACACTGAACACCATCTTTTAACACTTTACATAATTAATTCAATAAAACCTATATAATACAATTTCAGAAGCATCTGGAAGTAGTTCTTCCAATATAAATAAATAGAGTAAAAATAAACAACAAGTAAAGCTTTATTCAGAATACGAATCACTATCGCTATCATCATTAAAATCAATAATTACAGGTAAAATATCCTCCCGTTCAAATATAACTTTACGGTCCCAAAATTTCTAAATAATTTTTTCAGTATGATTGTTACAATTCAGAGCTGGGGAGGATTCGAATCACAAAGGATTCGAATCGTGGGATTCGAATCCTTTTTAAGGATCCGCGAGCGGTATTCGGATACTTAAGAAAAAAAGGATCCGTGATCCGGATTCGCCGAAGAAATTCTTAAAGATTCGTATTCGAATAACCAATATTAGTCTCGGATCCTTTTAGAGACCAAACTACGCCGGCGCGAACGGTCGACTCACGCTTTGACTTTAGTGAAGTGTATGTAAACTGAAACTGAGACTGAAGACCGATTGTTAATATTTAGAAGATAAACGTAAGAATCTACAAATTAATTCAAAGAAGGCAGAAGAGCACCTAGACAATTTTGAGTTGACACCTATGCCATATTTTTAGGCTATTTTTATATCCTATTCAAAATGTTATGCTCCTCGATTTTTACAAAAATCAAGGTTCTCTGGTAGCTTCGAACGAAGCCAGCAAAGCACCTCGGTTTTTTAAAGCTTTTTTTTTCTGAAAACAACCACACTGCAAATTTAGGCTATTTTTAGGCTCCTGAAATATTGTAAAACTTTACTAAAAATTATTATTTTTAAATAATACAAGGTACTTTGCTGGAACAAAGTTAGCAAAGCACCTCGGTTTATTTTTTTTATTTTTTCTAGAAACATCTACTTATGTCACATGTTTGAGCTATTTTTGGGCTCTTAAAATATTATAAATCTTTTTGAAACAAATAGTGTTTTTTAAAAAATATAGGGTGCTCTGTTGAAACAGAGATGCTTTGATGGCTTCATTCGAAGCTAGCAAAGCACCCTGTATTTTTTTAAAAGTAATATTTTAAGAGCCTAAAAACATCCTAAAAATATTGTGTTGTTGTTTTTGGAAAAAAACTTAAAAAACTGAGGTGATCTGCTGACTTCGTTCGAAGCTAGCAGAGCACCTTGATTTTTGCAAAAAAAAACAGTAGCATAAAAATAGCTTTAAAATAGCCTAAAACTATGGCATAGGTTTCAACTCAAAATTGCCTAGGTGCTCTGCTGCCTTCTTTGACATCACAAATTAGCAATAAATGTCCAACATAAAAAAAAATCCTAAAATTTAACACTGGCCTTCCTTCGTCTGGTGCAATCTAAAGATTTAAAGATTGTTTTTGTTTGTAGGTATAATCGACGCAACTCGAAATTTTGGTGCTATGTAAGGCCAACCAAAAGATATTTTTATTTCATTATTTTGTTTTTTTGTATTAAAATAAAATATATTTTTTGTAGATTCTAATTTGTTTATGATTCATATTTATAGAAAAAAAAAATAAGTTTATTCTTTTCAACATCTTCTTGTATCAACCATTTGTAAGCAAGTCATAGTCGGTAATAGACACATAGTTGATATGATATTAGATTCGAAAGCATGCATAATACCATGGTATGATGCTGACAGTGATTCGTATTCGTGATCCGAAAAAATGGATTCGAATCACTTGATTCGAATCCTTTTTTATTGCAAAAAGGATTCGGACATAGGATCCGTGATTTAATCACATCTCGTGATTCGGATTCGTGATTCGAATCAATTTTTTGAGGATTCGTCCCAGCTCTGTTACAATTAGACCAGATTTGGGGAGTTACAGTCTGTAGTGCTTCCCTTCACATACTTAAACAATTTTGAATTGAGTTGTCATTCCTACCAATATGCAGGTTATATTAATTTTTGACAATACCCCACATCACTTCAATTGGGTTAAATCTATCTGAATTAGGGCGTGGTTCAAAGCCCACTCGTACTAAAGCTTTAGGCTTATTGCGCTCCTCGCAGTTTCTACCCCATCGGATTAATTTTCTTACAAACGATTGTCCGGTTCCGCCGGGAACAATTTAAAATGATTGGTATTATTTTTATTCTACGATATGACACTGTCGATCAAAACTACCTCGAAACTCTCTAAGTTGTCCGGTACTAGAAAAACATCTTCCCACAACATCAGTTCAGTTTATTTTGGGTACGCCCTCTTGCGTGTTTTAACAGTTGACAAATTTAAGAGATTAATTCATTAAAGCACTCACATAGCCTCAATAAGCACCTACTTAATGTTCAAAGCAACAAATGATAAATAACATAACCACCAACCTTGGATGAAATTAGGCTATCCCAATCGCAGAACAGCTCTATTAGTTTTCTTCCGTCCATCCATTGGCATTTTCGTTCGAGAAAAAATAACAAGTTGAAAACAATTACCTCAAAAACGCCCTTCAAAAACGGGTCGCGTTTAAAATCTGGTTTTAAAATATCTAAAAAATAAAAATTAATATTTTGGTTTAGCTAATTGGATTAATGGTTCTAACCTATATTTTCTATTAAATCAGTCAGACTATTGTAAGGCCTATTATCGCAATTTTTTAAATGAGCCAGAGACATCGTAATGAAATTCTGCAACGTACTGGGACCCTTATATTGTTCTAGAATTTGTAAAAAACCAGCACCATTTCCGGTTTTTATTATGTTATTCAGTTTTATTATATCATTTTCATTCAGCGGTACCTAAAAGTTAATTTAATATTTCGATATACAATGGAAAATTCTCATATGAAAGGAAAATATATGCAGGGTGGGCTACCCCGTAACGACCCGGTATGTAGAGCCAAAACTATTTGATTTTTGTATCGTTTTCACAGAGCGATGTATATCAAAAAATGGAACAACATAAAAATAATTTCAATTGTTCAGGGTTATCCAAGAAAGTGATACATTATCAAAGTTGAGTTTTTATCTTTGATTTTCTCATTATAACCATACCAAATAGTATGGGATTACACAGGGTATGTCACACGTTATAACCAGTTTTATTAGAAAATCGTTCTAGACTTTTTTAAAACAAATATTGCAACACTAATGACATTAGTAATAATACTATCAGTATTAGAGTTGCAAAGTCAACTTAAAAATCAATAAACTTAGAATAAAGTAGGTATTATAATGAAGTTAGTCTATGATTGATTGATGTTGATATTTATTTTTTACTGAAGCCCTATTAAAAATTGTCAAAAACTTATTCAGTTGATTGTAAATTACAGCTGGATAAATTCTAATTACTAAATAACAGTCTATTTCCTGTCAACCAGTGACCAGTTAAAATTAAAGTATTTTGTGGATTATCTTTTCTTTTTTCATTTAAATTTAAAAATTTCCCAAAATTATTAACTATAGGTATAGGGAATGCTTAACTCAAATGAAACTTTAATTAAGGTACTTTTGAATGGTGAAACAAAATTTAAAAAAAAAATGACAAAATCAAGTATTTGAGTTTTGACTCAATTCAGTTAAATTCTTTCTAAACGGATTAATTTAAAGTTATAATGTTATTGGACATTTAGAATTATAACCAGGGCCACAATGCAGGACCTCGTAACTAACATTTCTACTGAAAATCGTTTTATAATAATCTCGTTTAAAACATTTCGCTCCATCTATTGTATATGAGAAGTATTACAATTTTTTAACAAAACATGGGTACATATTAGTCCTATTACAGAGTAAAATTGAATGTTCTATGCACTTGTGAATCGTTTTTTTCATCTCCTGAAAAATGTTGATTTTACGATTCAAGAGGTCCTGCCTTGTTGCCCTAGATAAATATAAAGATGCATATGTATACAATAGATTAAAGTAATTAAATTAGACATTTTTATAAATTTATTATCCAGAAGAGTTTGGTGGTAAAGCATGTGGTACAAGTTTATATTGAAGAGATTCATGCACTAAATATGGACAAATTTCTAAAAGCTTATGTTTTATTAGATAATTAAATATTTTTTAATTTGGTGATTTTTTTATGCTCTGTGGTATATTATTGAATAATGTATTCCAAGCATTGTAGGTGACTTAGCACAAATATTTAGATGTGCATACAAGTTCATCTTTGTTCCTTGTACTATATGAATGACAGTCACTGTTACATTGAAAATTTGATTTATTTTTATATATCGCTCACTGGGCGCAATAGTGACACATCACAAAATGATTAGTTTTGAGAAAATCACTGATTTGTAAAAATGATTCGAAAGATTTATGTATTATATATCAACTCTTTCACTTAATTAAAAGATTGATATTGATAAGTGTTCAAATAGGGTATCAGATTGTATTATTGCTACTTTTTTAACTGAACGTCTTTTTTTAACTTTATTTTTAGAAAAACAACTAGTTGTGCCGTTATTGATTTTTTTACACCTATGATTTTTATGAATAAAGTGAAATATCTTAATGGGAGTCTTCAGTTTAAAGTTTTAGCAACATTTAATTGCAAAATATCAAAATATGGTTTTGTAACTGTATAATTTTATATAATAATTATCTGTGAGATAGGAAGTTAAAATTACTAATTCAAAAAATAACAATTTCATTCTGCAAATAAACAAAACTACTATTCTAAAAGTAAAGAAAAACACCACTGTTCTGTATTCTTTGGCACGTTTCAGGCTATTATAAAAGTGACTGTAATATTTTTTAAAGCATTAGGTCGTCAAATTTTTTCTTTAGAATTGGAATAATATCTGATGCAATTTTTTAGTTTGCTGTATTAGGACTAGAAGTGTATTTTATTAATTTAATTAACCGTTCTAGTATTTTTGTGCCCCTTGAATTGGCATGTTGAGGTTTCATAATACAATAAACCCAACTATTTCTAACAGTTTAATTTGGTAAACTAAAAGAAAAAGGGTTTTAATACATTTATCTATTAAATCTACGGCAATTCCAATGCTGAAAACACTGATTATACTATTTATACTATAAAAATAGTATATTACGTAACAAGTGTTGTAAGTAACCCATTACGCACGAAGTGAAAAAGTTTAGGCACGAAGAGTGCGTAAATTTCACGAGTGCGTAATGGCCCAGTATATCTAACAATCAGTATTGGCACTCTGAGGCGGCACGTTTGATCTTTAAAAGTAGTAATTTTAGTTGACACTTGACGTTTTCAGGACATGAAAAGTTTTCTTTACACCGACTTGGTATACCTGGTTAGTTGAATTTTTGTTCTGCTGCTTTTCAAATTCGTGTGTGCATGAGCAAGATGTGAGATACCTTTATAGACAACGGTTGAACAACTTAATTACTTTGAAGAAGAAAATAGATTAGATATCAAGGCAGTCTTCGTAAATGTAAGAAGGACAGAACCGTTTTAAATTTTTTTTTATATATATATATATATGAAATATTACTTTTTGGTGAAAATTTTAATTACTTTTAGTTCAAAATATAACGTTAGTTTGTCAAAGAAAATATATAACACACAATCGAAAACTTTTCTAGTATATTGTAGAAATTTATTCTATACGTTATTTAGGTACTGCAAAGTCTATAGGGAAGTATGTAGTTTTAAATATAAAAAAAAGAACGGAGACATATTTAGTGTTGTTTTTTTTTTTACAAATATATACTCAGTGACATGTTTTTGTGAATGAGTTCAAGTATGACTAAAATCATTACTTTTTATTATGAATTAATTTGAATTTATTTAAAAATGGGAACTTTATGTATATGGTTTTCGTAGTTTTTACACTTGTGATAAAAATATCAAAGTTATGTATATTGGCCATTTACTACACACAGCAAATTCATAGACACAATATACATATATCACTATTTGACATTCTTATTAAATTCACTAATTTAATTGCCATAAGGCATAATTTATTTATTTGATACTATAAAAAAATTAATATAGTAGTTACATGTAGAGTTAAGTAACAAGAAATTTAAAAACAAAACAAACCTTTATATGTAGTGAACTTAATTTAGTGCAGTCCTCAACTTTCTTAGACATTAAATATATCTATTTGGATCTCGCTAAGAAACTCATTGGTTAACAGCCATCATCTTGTTAAAAGGAGATATACTACTTGGATCTAAACTAAATAATTTTTTGTTACTTGGGATTCTTAGATTAATCTTTGCCACATTAAAATTTATATATAATCACAATCTTTGTACTTAAAATTATTCAAAATAGAATACAAAATATATCACAGCCTGTTGCTTTCTTCTTTGTAAAACTATCGAGCATAGTTTTATATGAGATCTTATAAGTGTACGAGCATTTTTTCTGACATAAAGGTACCGTAAAAGTATTTTTTATACTTTTTCAATATGATCAATTTGTGTGGCATCCAAGAGCATCCATATTTGTGAAACATACTCAAGATGGGATCTTACTAAGGCATTATATAATCTGATTTTGGTGGTAAACCTAAAAATTTTTTGTATTTCTGATTCAAAAACCCAAAGCTTTTATTGCTTTTTTAGTTATGTGTAAGAAATGATTATTGAACTTCAAATTAGACTATAAGACAACTCCCAACTCTTTTACCTCATATTCACGATTTAATGTGACATCACAGGTCTTGTCTAATGTAAAAAATTGAGAGGCTACGGGTCCTTACAACTTAAAATATGCATATGTTTGTAAGTGTTAAATAGACAGATAAAAAGTGTTGATTTTTATTTACAACTATAATGAGAACCTATTAAAAAGATTAAGAGCAATAGAACATTTCAACAAATTTCTATAGGTACACATATTTTTGATACCTGATAATCAATAAACAATATATTTTTTTGAGTAGCAACAGGTTTATTAATACAGAACTATTATTTTGTTACAAATACTTATATTATAATATTTATAATTTACATAACAGTTGATATAAGTCCTTTAAAAATAATATATTTTGATTTAATTGTTGAATTTATACATGAGCAATTTTCCTTGTAGCGTTGTTTACATTTTGCAGAGAAATATTGTATTCTGCTTTTAGAGCTGATAAATCATGTACATGTAAATAGGTTGAATGTAGACAATGTTAATGATTTTGCTACTACTGCTGGCTAGGAATGCTGGGCTGGGACACCAATAAAAAAAAGGGAGCACAAAGCACTAGATCAGTTTCTATCACTTATACACTTACAATTTACAACCATTCAAGTAACTAGCATGTTGGAAATACTTCACGAAAACATATTAAACATAAATCAGTCGAATGCAATGTATTTTCTTTTTATTACACACCTTTTTATCTTGATTACTTCTAGTACTCTATTTATTCCATATTTATTCCAATGTCCTCAAATAAAACGAGCAGTAATACGTAACAGTAAGGATAAAACACACACTGAAGTGGATTTGGGGTATTTTTGATCTAAATTCACTATCAAAATAACAAATTTTTTGTTTTTAAGCTGTGAATGTATTACAAATACTTCGATAAAATGTAAACAAAAGTTTGTATTTGTGTACGAAATATGCCTGCGCATGGTAGCGAGTTTTTAATCGGATTTATGACAAGTGATAGGTTATATCCCGAAAACGTCAGCGCAGTAAAAGCTGCGCGTCTTTTTCCCGCCCAGGGAGTGTCATAGGCCTGGTATTGGGCTTACAACTCGTGTAATTATACTTTTTCTACCTCTGTACTTTATTAGAGGAACGTTACTATAATTCTGCTACGGTAATTAGTTCAGTTTTCGGCCACCAGGTTTTTAACCTAAAATTCTAAAAAAATTAATTGTTGTTATTTCGCGTCGTGCCAGGTAAAGTAGACCTACCTGTTCGGTAGTGAATCACAACCGCCTATGGCGGAGCTCGAAAGGGTAGCCAAAAACACCCCACCAGCCAAAAATGCTGAGTTCATAGACACCCTATTCTCCAGGAGAAACAAAGATCGGATCGAAAAAATTACATTAAATATTAACCAAACATCCCCCGAGCACCACCCCAGAAGTCTCAGTCATGGAAGGAATCATCCGTACAAACATGTGAGTACTCCTAATCCGAAATATGTATCAGATAAATCATCCAGATCAAGCTCCAGAGGTGAATCCACAAAAAGACATGCAGGGAAAAAAGTATGGAGAAAATTTCAAAAGGTCTTATCATTGACACAAAGTCAGAACCTATAAAAGTCCCAACAGTGACTAGCATCCGAAGCTCCAGCGAAATTTCAACCGCGCCGGACGGCGCAAAACATATCTCGCGCGAAAGTATGGAGAAAAGTCAAGAAAGTATGGAGAACGATACATCATCTTTCTACATACTTTCGCAGTCACAAACAGACGCACCGACTGAAGACAATGCTACACCAAAGAGCTCGGACGACTCACCGGACGGCAATTTCGAAAGTGCGGAGAATTCTCCTCTTAACAATACGATTGTAAATACCGCGGAAACGGGCTTAACAAACAAATTAGATACTAACGCGATCGCCAAGTGCGCCGAAAAGACGATAGACGACCTTATAATCGAGTGTGCCGAAAAAGCGGAGAAAACATTAAGTGAAATGGTGCGAAAAAGTATGGAGAAAGACAAAAATCGAAACAAAACCTCTGAACAACCGGATGACGCGTCACAAGTCTTCGAATCCGAAAATAAAACACCACCGATACCGAAATCGGTGACCACGAGAGTGCTCAATTTCGGTACGGGACTACAGTCACCATCGTCGAGCGAAGACGAGCAAAACAAATTTACATACCGCGGTGAACAGCCTAAAACGAGTGAAGTGCGTGCTTTCACAGGACAAAAGCCAACCGAATCCACCGGCGCGATCCCGAAAGTGATAAAATCGATTTGGAACCGCAACCGAAGCGGAAGAGAACCCTAGAGAGGTCAACTACAACTCAAAACACAGACACAACAGAAAATATGGACGTTAACAACGGAGAAGGGGCGTTTATCACCCCAAAAAAAATTTCTACGAACTTTCATAATATTCTGAAAGAAAAAGTAGAACGATCAATAAAGGTACAAAACAAATACCAGCCACTATCTGACTCTGACTCCGGGGAGGAAGATGCCAACTCCCAAAAACTACCCCCAACTGTCAGAAAACCTAAACCGAAGGTGGTAACCAAAAATACCAAGCCAGGTACAAGTGAAGCGAAGACTGACAATCACAATTCACTAAAAAAGGATCTCCAGAATATTGTAAAGGGTAGATACACTCTAAAATATACAAACAACTCCACAATATACGTCGAGGAACAAAACGATTATAAAGAACTAATAAGCAGTGTAAAAGAATCCAAAATCTCCTACCACACTTACACTAGCATAAATGAGAAATCCCATCCATTCGTGCTAAGGGGATTAACAACGGGAATCACCACCGAACAGATTGAGGAAGATCTCATGCATTCCTATGACATTAAGGCAAGAGAAATCTACAAAATTTCAACGAAAAATAGACCCCTATTCCTTATAATAAGAGACCCGGCAATCACTTTGGACTTCCTCAATAAGCACATCAGGGTGGTAGAAAACACCCGAGTTGTTTGGGAGCTAAGGAAATCTACCAAAAGCATAATACAGTGCCACAATTGCCAGGCATGGGGCCATGCCACGGCAAACTGCGGACACCCTCCGAAATGCTTGAAATGCGCAGAGAACCACCACACGCGAACCTGCGTGAAAACCCGCGAGACGCCGGCCACCTGCGTAAATTGCCTAGGGGATCATCCGGCTAATTACTCAAAGTGTACGACCTAGAGAATGGAAGAGAGGAAGAAGCAGCAACAGCCTCGAAGATATGTGCAAGCTCCAATCCCAGAAGGGAACGCCTGGGAAAAGAAACAGCCTAGCGCTACCAGGCTAAATCAAGAGGAATCTCCCCCCCCCCCCTACCCTCACGAAGACCACCCCAACAAAACAACCAGCTACCCACGTGACAACAACAGAGCAGATCCACCGCGAATAATGCAGAACAGGGAACCATGGATGACATGTTCGCCCTTAATGATGAATTCAATATACTTAATAACCTTGTTAATATTTCAGAACTCACCCGAGCCGTTAGGGACCTCAACAACCCCCTAAGACAATGCAGAGACGAACGAGACGTATTTACCACATACAATAACTTTGTAAGAAATCTAAACTCGTATAAATTTAGGAATTAAATTCAATCCGGCAAACTACAATGACAAACTCAGAATTTGTTTTTATAACGTGAACGGCTTAGTAACGAACTTCATTCACAAGCATAAGTTTGACATCATCATACTTACGGAGACTAACCTAAAACAAACGGACAAAATCAAAATCAGAGATTACAATATCATAAGACAAGACAGAGAAGGACAAGCCAGACACAACGTACGACAAATGGCAGCGGGAGGGGTTGCTATATTTGTCAAAAACAATCTCGAATTCGCGCATCTGCCGAACCTTAATATTTCACAACATGTAGAACATGCAATAATTAAATGCCATAATACCATCTTCATAGGAGTGTACAACCCCCCCGGCAAGGAAAATTTCAAACGCCGACATGCATGCGCTAATGTCTAAAGGTAACAGAGTTTTTCTAGCTGGGGACTTGAATTGCAAACATCCCGAGTGGGACGCGAACTGTATCCACGCCAACCCTGCAGGTAATTTGTTGAGAGACTTCGCCGAAGACAACGAGCTAATAATCCACTACACGGACGAACCTACATGCACACCCTTCAACGGGGGCACCCCAAGTACAGTGGACATTGCAGTCACTAAAAACATAACTGACGTACAAAATATAAGAACAATTAGTACATTAAACTCAGATCACGATCCAGTGTACTTGGAAATACGAACGACATAGAAAATTAACAGAAGACAAAAACAATACTTCGATTACAAGACAACAAACTGGAACAAATACAGACAAAAAATTGAACAAACACTAATAATAAACAACAACATAAACAATGCACAACTTCTAGAACAAAAAACACGAGAATTCATAACAGTCGTACAAAAAGCTAGAGACGACTCGACAAAAATCAAAACTACTCCACCACACAAAGACACGCTGCCACCCGAAATTACTGACCTCATTACAAACAAAAATCAAATACGGAAAGGGTGGCAGCTACACAGGAGAGATGAAGACAGGGTGAGACTAATGGACATCGCTAAACACATTAACAAACAGATAAACGAACATCGCAACAATATTTGGCAAAAAACCCTGTCCGAAATTAACCCGAAGGACAACTCACTGTGGGGGGTTGTGAAAAGGTACAAAAAGCCCTTCTCACAACTTCCTACTTTGAAACTAGGACAAAATACACTCACAACAGACAACGAGAAAGCTCAAGCCTTCGGCGAGCACTTTCAAACAAACTTCCGAAATGATCAAATAAACAACGACCACCAGAATCAAATAGAACAAATTGTAAATGAATTGGGGGCGATGGATCCGGTACACGTGCCACACTCTTTCTACACCTCCCCTAAGGAGATCGGGGAAACAATCAAGTTCCTCAAAAATAGGAAAGCTCCGGGCCCGGACGACATTAGCAACATCCTAATTAAAAATCTACCTAAAAAGGGGGTTGTACAACTACTACATTACATAGTAAATGCAATTTTCAGGCTGCAACATTATCCTAGTTGCCTGAAAATTGCAAATATTGCAGTTATAGACCCATCTCGGTGTTAAACACAATTTCAAAAATAGTAGACAAAATCATATTAAATAGACTAAACAAAATAGAGGAACAACTACAAATTATCCCACAGGAACAGTACGGGTTCAGAAGTGGACACAGCACCGTTGCACAAATCGTAAGAATTGTTCATAGTGCCAAAGAGGCGTCAAATTTCAACAAACAAACGGTGCTTGTGGCGCTTAATAGCGAAAAAACTTTTGACTCCGTCTGGACCTGTGGTTTAATTCATAAAATGCTTGTGAATGATTTTCCCGTTCACGTTGTAAAAATAATACATTCATACATAACTGACAGACGCTTCAACATTAAAATAAACAGTACAATCACAGGACCCTACTCTGCGCTGGCGGGAGTACCCCAGGGCTCAGTATTGTCGCCTCACTTGTACTCGATTATGACCCATGACATCCCTATGGGCCGTAATGGTGTACAAACGGCACTATACGCCGATGATATCTGTCTTTTCAAAAGCAACCATTCTGCTGAGAGTGCAACAAGAACACTGGACATCCATATAAACAGGAGACTAATACCATATCTAACTAAAAACAAAATGAAAATCAACCCCGCAAAAACGGAAAGCATGCTCATAACGAAGAGAAGATCTAGGGGCATTCATATTCCCCTAAAAATCGGTGATCAAAACATACATACAGGCGATAGAATTAAATACCTGGGTTTTCAGTTAGATAGGGGATTAACATTCGATCTTCATGTTAAAGACAGGGTGGCGAAAAACCACATTGCAATCAAGACGCTCTACCCTATACTAAATAGGAGAAGCAGAGTCACCCTGTCAAATAAACTATTAATCTTCAAGTCAATCCTGAGACCAATCTTGACTTATGGATGTCCGGTGTTCTGTTCCATTGCAAACACTCATTTTTCGAAACTACAAGTAGCCCAAAACAGATGTCTTCGGCTAGCTCTGGGATACGACCGCTATGCCAGAATAGCCGACATGCACAGACAGACGGAGACTCCACTCAACAAAGACTACATACTAGATACAGCCGAAAAATTCTACAAGCGGTGCCTTCCCGATAATGTGAGAGATGATATCTTTAGCATATATCGGGGGGACAACGTGCGTAGAAAACACGGCTGCATCCACGCAAAACTCGACATCTACCAACGCAGACAGTAACATCCTACCTAACGCTCCCAGACATACTAAATAATATCTCACACCGACTAGATATTTACACAAACTAGTCGGACGGCAACTGATCGGTGGATCGGCCATCGAGGCAACAAACGCGAAACTTTACATTCGCGAGTGCTGCTTCGATGGAAGGTGCAAAGATCACTCTGCCTGTGGGATATAGTAAATAACAATAGATTATACAAACGCACACACAAGGACAACCCTGTTTTTTCTAGCTTTTTCAGGGATCAAAAATCAGAACTAAAAACGACATATCCTTACTTATCTCCCATTACCGATACCAAAACAAACCCCAATTCCTCAATAATACCGTAACGGTAAGGAGTGAGGGCTGTAACGTTGCAAATTAAAATCAAAAATGGTTATTATTGGCGGACTTGTCTTCCATGGTCTCCTGGACCCGCACGAAAAGAGGAATCTCGGTAGTGTTGTAAATATTAATTATTTTTTGACATGTAGATAAAGACTTATGTAAATAAATTGATGTTATACTGTTATACTTTTTCTACGCCCACTTATTTTTTTCTATTAAATAAAGGACATATGCTTGTGTCGCCAATCCATACATTTTCGGTAGGTAATTTAGTACCTTTTTGGATTTTAACAGTAACAAATGATGTGTCGCAGTTTAAGCTTTTTCTAAAATCTCCGATGAAGTGATCATAATTTCATCACTTTCACTACTAACAGATATATTCGTAGGTAAAGTTGACAAACTGCTTGAATAAAATATTTTGTATAATGTATAATGTGTTGCCGACATTTAGGGGCATCACTTTTTTAATCCAAAATGTATTTCGCTAATTCTAAAAGTTTTATGTTTTTCAATTGACTAAATTTATGTAAATAGAACAAATAAAGTCGTATGTAGACAAAAATTTAATTGCAATTTGATTAAACCAAGAAATTTAAGTTTTCTTATCAAAACGCACGTGTACGTTATGAGATCTCATTACGTGCATGTTATTGTTAAATGTCATTTACAAGGAATGTTGATAGAGCGATTTTTAACGTTTACTGACATGGGCGTAGAAAAAACCTTTAAAGCCTAAAAAAATAAGGGAAAAACATTTTAGTTTTGTGTACTGTGTACTCTGTTATATATTAATAATATAAATTAAAAATTATTAATTGTATCAATAATACGGACAATGTAATACTTTTAACAAGCAATAAGGGCACATTTTAAAAATACTAATAATTAAATATGAAATACTCTCACAATTTACAATGATCCAATAATATTAGAATTCATAATAATATTTTGACATACAATAGTGGCATACCCTCAAATGTTCCATTATTGTTTCACTAAAATTATAATCAACTTATTTTAGCGTACTATTTAAAATATGCTACTGTTGACTCTGTTTACGTTCTTCAGTCTGCGATAGTCATTGGCAGTTTCTGTGCCGGTATTGTCGCGCCACCGTTAACAAACGCGCGAAATTCAATAGTGGCACTAGTTACCTATATCTAGGGATACCAGAGTAAGATAAACATGTGCCACTTTTGGTGGTTGGTAAAACAAAAAATTGCGAGTGTTATGGTACACTCAACTAAAAATGACAATTTTTAGAGATGTGCCACTATTGCACCCAGTGAGCGATATGTATATTAAAAGTTCTAAAATATACACTCCGAATACGGTAAGGATTTTATCTTTTTAAATAGTGGGCGACAAGAATCTGTTGGTAAAATACCAGTCAAACATATTATAATTCTCTTCTGAGATGTAAATACTTCATTACCATGGGATGATCCGCCACAGACACAGTAAATCAACCTCGAATTACATTTGCAAAGTAAATTTGACGAAGATGGTAAGATTTTAAAATGCATTTAAGGTTACGAAGTTGAAAACATTGTGAATTTAAGGTTGTCACTAAATTTTGACAGTGAGTTTAAAACGATAAATTTTCATCAAACGTTATTCCTATAAAATTTGTGGAATCAACTGTATTTATGTGTTGTTTACAGATATATCTAAACGAGGTATTTTAGAATTTTGGTATGTATGAAAATAAATGTAATTAGTTTTTGTAATATTAAATAGGAGTATTCTCCAAAAACCCTGATACTAACCATAGCTATGCTATAGGAATACATTCCTCGGTATTTCAGGCAGAGGTATATGCAATTTTGCAATGTGCAAAAACGAACAATGAAAGAGCTGTCGAAAATCAGCATATTCAAATGTCAGACAGCCAAGCGGCACTTAAGGCCATATCGAGTCAGAAAGTTACGTCGAGGCTGGTATGGGAATGCATCGAAGAACTAAGAACACTGGCAGACCGAAATAGAGTAAAACTATTTTGGGTGCCAGGTCACAAAGGGATCGAAGGCAACGAAAAGGCTGACGAACTTGCAAAAAGAGGGTCAGAAGAAACACCGGAACCAGACACAAACCCAGGAGTACCAAAAAGTACAGTCCGGGGTTTTATAAATGACTGGATTCGGGAACAACATATCAACTATTGGGGAAACACCCCAAAACAGGCACATGGAAAAGCCTTCATAGGCAGACCATGTCCCAAAAGAACTGGAGAACTACTCTTAATGAATAGGAACCAGTTGAAAGTGATAACAGGGTTCATGACTGGGCACGCCCCAGTAAAGGGACACTTGAACAAAATTGGCATGTACAATGGGGAACTCATGTACCGACTATGTCACAAGAAACCAGAAACGGCCAAACACATACTGTGCGAATGCGAAGCTCTAGATCGCAAAAGACAGGCTCTTTTTGGACAACCCCAGGTTGATCCAACAACGTATAGAACCCACTCACCCAAGGATCTGTACAAACTTGTACAAGATACAAAGGTGATAGAGTGGGTGCTATGAACTAACATGGGGTAAAACACAATAAGCCAATAGGCTTCAGTGTTATTCGGAGACACATAGTCAGACGAGCCCAGGAGGAAAAAAAAAATATTAAATAATAATGAAAGATTACTAGCCCATTCCGAAAATATTTTAATTGACATATCGATTTAATTTTTTAATCGTTCTTCAATTGAATCAGAAAACAAGAAAGTTGAATCATCTGCATAGAGAATTGAGAATGTATGGTAAAGTGATTCTGGAAGTTCATTTACATAAATTTTGAAAAGTATGGGAGCTAACACTGACCCTTGCAGCCCTCCTATATTATTTGTTACTTCTTAAGAAAATTACTGTTTTCCTGAGTTGTTAATTATAACCATTTGTCTATGTGAGGTATGTTTCAACCATCTATTTTGAGCGCCTCTAATTGAGTTTGTTAAATAGAACATCATGCTGAACATAGTCAAAGGCTATGCTAATATTACAGAACATCACAGTCGCGCCCCCACTGTGCTCAAAAAATAAATTAAAGCTCTTTTTCATAAGAGGATATAACGGCTGCATTTATAGATTTATGATGGAATCCTTGTTGAGATTCAGATATAATCTAATTTAAGTTCAGATATTTTAATGGTTGCATTATATATTCGAATATTTTTAAAAAAGTAGAAATCGTCGAGATATATCGATAATTAAATATATCGTGCAGGTTACCTCTTTTTAATATAGGCGTCACGATAAATGTTTTAAATCTTTCGGGAAATAAAGCTTCTTCCAGGAAAAGGTTAATTATACGAGTCAATGGTGTAATGAAGTTCGCGGTTTTTTTAATTAAGTTTCCAGAAATGTCGTCAAAACCGTTGGATGGTTTGTTTTTAATTTTTTGTTTCATCACTGTGTTCACATCTGATTCAGACATATAAGTAGTCAAAAAGCTCTTTATGGATGACTTATTGTTAATTATATTTATGATTTGTTTTTGGAGTTGAGATTCTGTTAATTGAGTTGTCTACTTGTTAAACCGGTCCCCATCCATTTTAGAAAATATCGAGATTAGCAAAAATATCAATATTCCTAACTTTGAAGGAACTATTCGTTTCTGAACATGTATATGTTACATTGTATTAGACATAATTTTAGAGACAATGTGAAAATTCTATTCAAATAATCAAGATGGTCTAGAGCAGTGTTTCTCAAACTTTTTTGGCGACGGAACCCTTTTTAAAAGCGATCCCTAATTTTACTCTGCAACCTATCAGCACATTTCTAAAAAAAAAAAAAAAAAAAAAAAAAAAAAAAAAAAAAAAAAAAAAAAAAAAAAAAAAAAAAAAAAAAAAAACCAGCTTCCTCTCTTTTTCAGCCGCGAACTTCCTCATAGTATTTTTTATTATAACTATTATTTTCGCGGAGGCCCCACATAGGCTTTGTGGACCCACAGGGCTCCGCGGAGCACACTTTGAGAAACACTGGTTTAGAAATTTGAAGTAAATATAAAAATGGTTTTTTTTTGTAATTTTTTCAAGTTTTATAAATAAAATACGGAAAATGTGGTTCTAATACCTACATATATTTTGTATTATAAAATAAAGTTGAACATCTGGAAAAATTGAGAAAAAACAAATATTTCGGGAAAAAAAGACTACTAATTTAAAACAAATTTTAAGAAAGTTAAACGAATTGGGTTCTGGTATTTAAATATTGGATTGTGGCATTTCTTTGGGAACATCACAATTATCTTCTTCAGACAAATTCTGGGAACATTTTATTGTTGGTTAATTAAATAATTTGGGACCCCTTTTGAAACAGACTTTAAGTTGGATGAAGCCGGTTTTGCAATACATCCCAATATTTGGGCAAAGATTTCAGTTAGATGAAGTCGCTTATGATATAATCTAAATATACCATGTAATAAAGTGTATTTCACAGTGTGCAATCGTACTTTGAAATTAGTTTTGACAAATTTTGGATGTAGCCAGTTTTGCAAGTAGACGACGCAATTGTTTCATATGGGATCGAAGTAAAAAACTGATTGAACATATCAGCTATACTAATTGGGTTTTCATCTTACCTTGTAGTTCACTTATGCTATATTGCTATATTTTTATTTGCCGAATTTTTATTATTTTAATATTTGGATTTCGTGTTTTGAACAAGCTTTCTATAATTTATTTTAGCATGATGATAACATTCAAACAATTCGGGGAATTTTTTTCCTCGATTTATGTAGTTTTTTAAATTTATTAGAAAACTCTTTCATGTCCTTATTTACCCAATAACGAGTTGGTATTCTAGGAATATTTTTTTGTTTTAAAGGGCAACTCGCGTTAAAAAGTATGTTAAAGTATCATGAAAAACATTGAATTTTGAGTTGGTAGTATTGCTCACCCTGTACAGATTTGTTTCGAATTGAAAAAAGTAGTGTATCGGCATAAAATATTGATTAATAGCAAAACTTTTACAGCACAAAATTGGGTTTCAATTGTTTAATTTGCAGTATACATGTCATTGAAATCAATACGATTTTCATATAAAACTATTTATATCGTGTGAAATACTCTGTATATTTCCATACTATTTGGTATTGTTATAATACGAAAAACGAGGGCAATTAAAAAAACTTTATTATGAATCACTTTCCTGGAGAACCCTGTATAATTGAATTTATTTTTAAATTGTTGCTTTTTCTAATAAAAGATTTTATAAAAAGAAAAAAGAAACAAATAGACCGAGGCGTTACCGGTGGCCCACCTTGTATATATTGAAAATCCCAAAACTCGCTTGCCCAACGGAAATCCCAGAAGATATTAGATTTGATTTTAAGTCAATTGAACTAAATTAACTTAGTTTTTTTGTGATTCAAAATAAAGCCCAAATAAAAATGTTCAAATCAATTCTTTACGTCTGATTAAAGATTTTTATATGACAATAGTATTTTCTTGACAAACAGAATGCTTTATGAAGAATGACTTTTCATCGTTAAAATAATAACAATTTGCACTTCTTGTGAACTCCATCCATACACATTGTATTTATATATGTAAATATTTACCAATTTTTTAAATAAAAAAATGAGAATTTCCCATTGGTAAATGAAATATTTACCTGCTCTCTACTACTCGTCAAAAGGTTGTGTAAACACTCGTCAAAAACGAATCCTTTCTTGTACCTAAATTTGCCAAAAATGGGTATTTCAGGACACAAGTTTATTTCTAGTGGAGGCGATTTAGGAGATTTAATATTCGGGTTATCAATTTTTAGAGTCAATAGGGAAGGAGGCCTAATTAAAGTGGGAGGTGGAGTCCTTATTAAAGTGGGAGGTGGAGTCCTTATTAAAGTGGGAAGAGGAGGTTTATTTAAAGTGGGAGGTGGCCTATTGAACGTAGGAGGGGGAATATTAATAAGGAAATTAGGCTCCAAGCTGGGCTCTTCTGATCTAAAAAAATCAAAATATCAAATTTAATAATAGGTTTTAATACTGGTTAGTAGATTTTTTATTTTGTAACCAAAAGAGGTTAGATTGAAAAAAATACAGACTGAAACAAAAACATCTGTAAATGATAGGTCTGTTCCAACAACGATCCGAAACCAGTCATTAGCACCAGGATTCTCGCAGTAGTTACCTAATTTGGGGGCCTAATAATCTACTGCGCAGAATCCTGGTGTCAATAACTGGTTTCTGATCGTTGTTGGAACAAACCTGATATCAATGTATAAAGAACTATAGTAGGATAATCCCAATGTAAAAGTTATTGGTGGCAATCGCGACTGACATCTATTGATACAATGATGCAAGTAACGATTTTACTTGTTGGTCAGTTACATCATCTACAATAGCTTTTAGACTTACCTTTTCTAATAAAAGTATTTTGGCAGAAACATATATGCATAATGTTACCTGTTTGGATAACAGACTTTTTTACATCGATTAAACAAATCAGTGAACACACAAAATGTTTCAGGTTTGCATCCATTAATTTTTATAATTGACATGGGTCCGAAAATAAATAATGACAAATCACTATTTAAATTTACAAAAAAAAGTGCAAATATTACTAAAACTATCTAAAACCAAACCAATTCAATTATAAATTTTAAGCCATACAAAAAATGGTAAAGTTGTTAGCACAACAGCTCGAGTGAAGCATTCCTATTCCAAGGGCCGGGTTCAAATCTCGGCTGTGGCTCATTCTTTCAGATTTATTTTATCATTAATATAATGTATAATTTAATATTTTTGTTTTAATTATCTTTAAAATACGAGGGCGGTTTGACGGAAGAGTGACTTTTCTGAGGTTGGCAACACTTTCGATATGGTGATTATATTGGTAGTTTCCGCCATGTTTCTGATGTAATCTCTCAAAATTTTACATAAATCTGACAGATAGATTAGTTTTAATACTCATATTGAAGAAAAAAGTTTTGTTTCATCACGACAATGCGCCTACCCATTCGTCCGCTATTGTTGCAGATAAATTGGTCATACTGCGTTACTATTTATTGCTTCGTCCACCATATTCACCTCCGATTACTTTCTGTTCTCAAACTTAAAAAAATGGCTTGGTGGAAAGCGGAGACAAATGAAGAGGTGATGGCAGAGACATCATCAGAAAAGAGATACGTTTCCGAGTCCAAACCTTCGCTTCTAGTGTTTCTTTAAGCCGCTCTGTCAGCTCTACCTTCTTCCCTGTCGTCTTCAGATCACTATCCTCTAGTTCTCGACGCAACTCAGCCACTTTCAAATAACACAGTTTTTAGCCATTTTTGTCCACTATTTATTTACAATCCCACTTCTAACACTAATGCAACGATTGTTTAATTTAAAAATTATTTATTTAAAAGTTTTTTATAATTATTTATTTATACCAATTACTAATTTATTAATTTAGACTTAATTACTATTATAACTCACACTTCCAATTTATTTCACAATTTATCTTCATTCGACAACATTTATATTGAAACTTAACTTCAACTGCACGACTTAACAATGTCACGCTATTTATATAAAGCTAGCCCTGCTAGGAAAGATTCTCGGTGGTCTAGAAACTCGCGAAATCGGTCCTCTATGCGTTAAAGAAAAATCTGGTTGACGGGCAGCGAAGCGGCACAGACATACCGTCAGCAGCGACAGTGCAAATACAGACGAGACGGCGCGGCGACCGTAGGGGTCAGAGCGGTTCTTGCAGAAGAATATCCACTCTTGTTGCACAAACTACTATTTTAGTCCCTCATCTTACTTTAAAAAGTGGCACGTCCTTTTTTTGCTTGCTCTTTGTAGTTAGGTAAAGGGGAGAGGGGTGGTGGAAGCGACCATGTGACTTGTGAAATACAAAATAAAGTTGCTTGCCAATGGATTTTTCTTTTTTGCAGGCAATTAAATAAATGCTTCCGCATGTAAAAAAAAATAAAACATCCCTTTGCTACTTCCGGGGTAGGGATTTAAGCCAAGTGACCGGATATTTACCTTCATCAAAAAAATTCGGGATATATAGCTTAAACAAGTTTTTTTCTGAATCTAAGATGATATTGCAAACAAATTATTTTTAAAAAACCATTTAGGTATTCCTCAAATGATTTATTTTTAGAAACTAAAATAATGGATATTCCAAAACTGTTCACTAAAATCGTTCTAATACATCAACATCTTCATAAAAATGAATTTAAAAAAAAAATTATTCATTCCTACTCAACCAGAGCTGTTACACAAAATTTAGTACATATTCCTAAAGCTGAAAAGAACATATTACAAAGTAACCATACTTACCTCTGCCTTCTGCAAATACCCCGGATAGAAATTCAAAACTGGATTCATCAAAAGGCCAGTCAAATTACTTAATAATATAAAAAAATAGAATCAATTTTTAATACTTTTTAGTGTCTTATTCTAAAATCCTCCTCGATATCTCACGATTTAATAGTACTTTCTTTCTCGCATTATAGTTTTATATGTTTTTTAGTGTTAGTTTTTTAGTTATTAATCTTTCTTTTTAAATTGAATTTAAATATAAGTTTTTATAATTTTATATACTCTACGTACAGGCCCTGCCTCCTGTGGAATTTTTTATTTATTCACTGTAGTTCCTGTATATGTAAGTAATTTAGGGTGTTTCATTTTTGAGCAACGTGAAAAAAGAAGCCTCTAAAAATTTGAGATCTTAATATTATCATTTAGTGGTGCCTATTCCTAACTTTCCATTTTCCATCTAAATAACATGGAAAAAAAAATTTCTTTTTTCTTATTTTTGTAGCTTTGAGTATTTTAAAAATAAAGTGAAACACTATTTTGGTAGGAAATTGAACGCTCTACAAAAAAGTTTAAATTTATTTTTTTCATAGAGTGAGCCATTCTGAAGATATTCAAACTTAAAGTTGCAAATGTGTGAAATTAGGACTTTTATTTTATTAAACTAATACTGATGACTTTTTTATGTCTTAAAAATTGTTTTTAATCAGAAAACTGGTTTTTGTGCGGTAATATTTTTAGAAAGCTAAAATAAAAAAAATTACATCTTAGATATTATTTGATTATTTGATTAACTGTTAAACAAAAGTAATTAGGTTCAGAAAAAAGTATTATTTTATAGATTAAAAATAAACTTTTTAACAATTAGCATACTAAAATTTTGAAACTAATAGATATTTTAATGTCTTATCAGAATTAAATGATGTAACTATATTTGTTGAAGTTTTTTTATTACAATTTGGATATTTTCGTCGGTGCTCCTTTACCACTTATAATACATATTAAAATTGTTCCTCATCTTTAGTTAGGCATCTATTATATTCTTCTACTAATGCGACGCCATGTCCTGCAACGTCATTGACAACTTTAAATTTTTCGAAAAACTCAAAATTCTCTTGATAACTTTCATTATCTGGCCAAATTAGGACATCTGCATCCAGAAAGTCGTACGGCAACTCAAATTTGTCAAAAAGTTTCAATGATTGCTTTGAAACAATATTTACTCATATTTTTGTTTAAAAATATTTGTGGTGAATTTTGGTCTTCTGTGCGTCGTTATTTTATTTCTATATGAAAATAATGATGTTTTCTTAAAAATAATTTTTAAGACAAAAAAGTCATCAGTTTAATAAAATAAAAGTCCTAATTTCATACATTTGCAACTTTAAGTTTGAATATCTTCAGAACGACTCACTCTATGAAAAAAATAAATTAGAACTTTTTGTAGAGCGTTCAATTTCCTACCAAAATCATTTTTCACTTTATTTTTAAAATGCTCAAATGTCAAGCTACAAAAATAAGAAAAAAGAAAATTTTTTTTTCTCTGTTATTTAGATGGAAAATGAAAAGTTAAGAACAGGCACCACTAAATGATAATATTAAGAGCTCAAATTTTTAGAGGCTTCTTTTTTCACCTTCTGGAAGTTTTAAGCCTGTTTTTTAGTTGAAAAAAAAAAAAGTAGCTCAAAAATGAAACACCCTAGTAAGTATATTATAAATTGTACCTCTTGTGAATAAATTACTATTATTATTATTAAGGCGTTATTTGCATAAACTCCAGTTGTCATTAAATTCAACTTGTGGTTTTTGATGAAAACTGCTTTTGACATATTATAGGGTTTATGAAGAATGTGTCGATATTTTAAATGTTGATATCTTGGATTACCTACGATTTTGCGGATTTTTTTTTCAGGTAAGGGACATAGATACTTATGTTATATAACCATAAGGGTCATAGTATAAATTTCCGGAAAAACTGACATAGGATTTTTTCAAAACACGCCTCAATTGTTTTATATCATGCATCAAATTGTCTGATTTTCTTTGACTTTGTTTACGCTATTATTTTCCGCCGCACTGCCACGATTTTGCTCCGCACTCGCGGTATTGTCTTTATCACACACGGGCATTTCAAACATGTGCACTGAGGGGTTATTTAAGGGCGAATTTTCCGCTATTCTTCGCTCTCAGGGGACACATCTTGTTGCATCAATAGATAATAGACAATAGGTAATAAATAGATAATAATAATAATAATAATAATAATAATAATAATAGATAATTATAATAGATAATAGTTAAAATTCTATTTTAAATGTAAAAATATATATCAAGTATATCTATTTTAGCTAAAGTGAACCATATTTACGACGTTTTTTTATTAAATAAATTTAATTATTCTACTACTAATAGTTGTTCTTTATACATTGATTATATGGAAAATTAAAATAAAGTAATTGTTGAAATATTCCTTTTAGGCTGTCGCTAAACAGTCGTGTACTAAAATGCCGTATATAAATATGACGTCTCAAATGATCCGTTTGACGACTTTTTATTGGGTTGCCGTTCGATTTATGATCGCGTTAAGCATTTTCTTCAGTCAGCACAGGAACCAATGTAAACACGAGATGGACAATGTATTATTACAAAAAGAATTAACGAACATTGACGAGTTTTCTAAAAGAGCCAACACAACAATACTCTACATTCTAATAATAATTCTCAGTTCATATCACACAGAATTCTTTTGTTCTGCTCAGAATTTGCAGATTTAGCTTAACATACTGACATGTTGTTTGAGCAAAGGATTAATGTATTTAAAAAATTCAAAACACTGTGGGCCAATCCAGAGATGCTAGATGCTAGAGAAGAAAATCAGGCCAAATTTATTATTGGAAGAAATAACGAAGTAAATTATCTATAGAAACTTAGGATTTTTGTAACATGGATCGGTAAAATACAAACGATACGAATTAAGCCTTCTTATTAGATAACACACATTCATTATCTCTGGGTTAGTCATTAGATGAGATACTTGCGTTTTTTTGACAGTTTGCAGCTCTACAGCAATTATGCACCAGTCACCACAGATGCAATTCCCTCATCTCTAGTGCCATCTAAAAGTATATAGAGGGCGATAATACAATATCCAAAAGAAGCACATGAACTTTCTTATATCATTGATGTAGCTTTATATGACGTCAACAACAAATCTCATCAAATAGTTGAATCCACAGCTAAAATTCCTGTTTCAATAAAAATTGAGTAAGCCCAAAACAAGTCTTAACGGTCAAAGAGATACTGCGGCGTTTTCAACACAATCGTATCATGAAAAATATAAAATCCTAACTGTGGTTTTGTACATATGTATAATTTTCAATAAAATGCTCTATTTTATCTAGAACATTCAGTACTGATAACGGACAACGGCCATATAATAAGATGCCGTCAAACGAGTCATTTGAATGACTTCATGTCTATTAACGGTAGTTTAAGTACAGCGTTCTTGGCATTATAAATAGATCAGAGGCAAAATATTTTACAAATCAAATTACTTACGTCTGAGAAAAAGCGGCAAGCGCTTGTGGCACATAATGATTATTATCCCTCGACGGTGAAATGAATTCGTTCCGATTCTCTTGTTCAACGGTAAATTTCTCAGAGCTCGTCGAACTTCTACTAGAGCTGTGTGGCGGGGAAAATGGCGGTGCGATCGTCCTCGGCGGTGGCGTCGTCGTTATCTTCTGCACATACTGAAACTGTCTTTCGTCCGAATCGATGTTGATTAAGTGAGTTCGCGGCTCATTTTGAGATTCTTCCTGTTCGAATCGTGTTCTCTCTTTCAGCAAATTCTTTTCGATAACATTACTCAGATCGTTGTTTTTGTTAATAGCATTATTGCCGAATTGAGCCAACGTTTTCAGAGGACTCAATAGTTCGGTGTTTACTAGCGACAAATCCGTCATTTCATTCTTTATTATAGTGTTGTATATGTCTTTGCAGATGTCCTTGTTGATGTTCGTGGGCTTCAACAAAATTCTGCTTATTATTCTCTCCAGGATATTGGGAGGCATATAGTTTTTAGCTCTGCATATCCGTTTAATTTCTTCCCAATTTTCAGACAAGTTGGGCTTTTGCGTTATTAAATCCAGAAGTATGTCGGCTAAGGAATTTGAAAAGGAGGTCTAAATTAGTATTATGTATTAAAGTAATTTAGATCGAATTCTTTGAAAAATCCAAAAATTGTATATAAGACAACGAAAATTTAATTAAATATGAGGATGTCATTAACCATTATACATAAAAAGTTGGTCGAATGGAAAAAAATATTCGTATTTTTAAGACGAAATTAGTAATTCTCACAAAAATAGAATATCAGATTCCGCTTACGAGATATCTGGACAAAACCGAAATTCGCGATTTTCATTTTATATAGTGAAGTATGACATAAATAGACTATATAAGACAAAATAGAAGACACTTGTACGTGACTTGGAGCAGTCTGGAAAAGGACCAGTCATCTTTATTCCAAAAGTAGGGGAAAAGGATAACACATATCCTAAATTCTTCCGACCAATCAGCCTCACATCCTTTGTATTAAAAACAATGGAAAAGGCTGTTGATAATAATTATATCAGAACAGAAGTACTGGAGAGGGTGCCACTCCACCACTACCCTGATACAGCTGACTGACGAAATCCAGGATGCACTGACAAACAAACAGTCGTGTGTGCCTTCCTAAACATAGAAGGAGCATTTGACAACACGTCACACGAATCTGTTAAAAGAACATTTGCCTCAGCTGCTATTTACGGGAACTGCAGAGACCAGAGTATGTCCACAAGGAGTTTTATCCCCACTAATGTGGAGCCTAACCATAGACGAACTTCTAAGCAAATTGACTGACCTCGGCATACCCTCTCAAGGTTATGCCGACGACATAGTAATATTTACTAGATACAAGTTTGGAAATATCCTGTGTGATATAGTCCAAGGAGGATTAGAACACACCAAAAGGTGGTACCGTGAGGTGAGACTTAGTGTAAAGCCCACGAAAACTATACTAGTAGCCTTTTCTAGGAAAAGGAAACTCAATCTCAAAACCGTCAAATTAGACGGGATAGATATAGAATGGAAAAATGAAGTCAAATATCTAGGCCTAACAATGGACAACAAACTTCTATGGAACACACATGAGGAGGAAGTAGTAAATAAGGCCACAAAAGTACTAATGATATGCAGAAACATAGCGGGTAAATGATGGGGATGTAACCCGAACACACAGCGATGGATGTATACAGCAATAGGCAATCATCACTTACGGCACTATAGCGTAGAGTAACAGAACTAGTTTAGCTACTACGACAGCAAATATCTCAATAGTACAAAGACTAGCTTGTTTTTGCATCACCGGTGCAATGAGTATCTGTCCTATGACTGCAATGGAGGTGATCTTAAACTTCACCCCTCTACATTTAATGAAAAAGGACATGATATAGAATGATCAGGAACGGAGAAAGTCTATTAACTTCAGGACCGAAGATACTTGGGATATGCCCCAGGTTGATGTGATAAAGAGCCAGTTTTGTGAAAAAAATTCAAAATCACAGAACTGGGCTGCAAGAAAGAATGCAGCCAAGAATCCAACGTGCTTGCAACCGAAAGACATGCTATACGGATGGTTCCAAAACCATAGAAGGAACTGGAATAGGAGTATATGGGCCAAGAACCAGGCACTCTGAACGTTTGGGAAAATACCCAAGTATCTTCCAGACGGAAATTCACGCCATTGAGAAGTGTATCCAGTTTAAAATCAAGAGAAACTACCGTAGACAAGAGATTAATCATCATGTCCAATAACTAAGCAGCCATCAAAGTACTAAGCACTTATATAATCAGCTCAAATGGTTTGGAGATGTCTAGAAAAACGGGATGCTATATCTACCACATGGAGTATCAATGACGACGGCTTAAAGATGGCTTCATTGAGCTGAAAGCGCTTAGCCAATTTTTTTTATTAAACATTTTTAAGTTTTGTACCTTTTCCACTTTCATTTCACCAGTAGTATGTACACCACTATCAGTCTACTTACTAACTGTATTAGTTCAAATACTATTTAAAAACATATAATCTGGCATTATTTTCAAGTAATGGTGCACCCATTATGTTTCTAATATGACTTATACTGATAACTAAACTTTTATTTGCAACATTTTTTGTAAACCTATAAGAAATAGAAATATTAGCAAGTTATACTGCTTTGCACAATTAGGTATTCCAACGACCTGTCGAAATGCTGCCAGTGGGAACTGACAGTTTAGATATGGCAACCCTGTGGGCCTGTTGTCAATGACATATAGTTATATAGATTGCTCAAAACGGATCGATTGCGAGCGGTCATATTGCCTAGCAAGTATTCATTAATTCAAACACTAAAATCAACATATTTTGGAATGTGGACTATGGAATTATTCTCTGGGGCAGATGAGATCTTTAAGTTGCAGAAAAGAGCAATAAGGCTATTAGCTAGTGTGGGTTTTCGTGAACCTTGTTAACCGTTGTTTAAAAAACTTCATATAATGCCTCTGCCAACATTATATCTATTTGGTGTTTTGACTGAAATTTACAGACAGAGTAACAGTTTAACAAGACAATCCGATTTGTACAATTATGATAGTAGACAGACAGACAATATTCGAACTAATCGTTATCGTTTAACCAAGTCAAAGAAAAATTCGCTGAACTATAGCCTATACAATCTATTACCACAAAATCTCAAAAAGCTTGGCACCAATCAGTTTAAAAAGCAAGAAAAAACATTTTTGTTGAGTTATTGCTTCTACTCTGTCAATGAATACGTGAAGTACTTACGGCTTGCATAAAGTATATTTTATTTGAATGTTTTCCTCTCTAACAATTACACACTGAAAATGTATTAATACATATACACACCTATTTTTATTATGTTTGTGTATTTTTTAGTTTTACTATTTATATGAACGTTTTTTTTGTGTAGGTACTATATGCAGGGTGTCCCGAAATTAGACGGTCATATTTTAACAGCGTAATCTACATCTTAAAATAAGAATAAAAGTTCATATAAACATAGGTCCGAAAACGTTTCGTTTTCGAAATACAGGGTGTTACAAGTGAAGTCCTAATGGCACATTTTTGTATATATTTTCTAAACTTTCTTTAGTCACCGGTTTTCCAAAGTAAAAAAAAATAAAATTTCTGATTTCACAGACCTACTAATTATTGTTTACACTTTCGAATAAATTATCATTAAATTTTTAAATACTTTTTTCTTGAAAATGGTGCGTCCTAGCGAGATGCAACAAAAGTAACTTTATTATGAAGAAAACATTGGTTTTTGAAATTTTATAGTCAAAAATCTTAAAAACTGTCAACAAAAAAAAAATTAAGGCAATTTTACCCTAAGCCCCCCTAATTTACCCACCTATGCAGATGATCAAAAACTGAGGTTTAGTCCATTAAATAAAGCGTAAAAAGGTAAGCATTTGTACCAAATTTTACCTAGTTATCTTTAAACGTTTAGAAAATATTTACAAAAAAGTGTCATCATGACTTCACTTTTAACACCCTGTATCTCGGAAAATAAACGTTTTCGGACCTATGGTTATATGAACTTTTACTCATATTTTAGGATGTAGATTATGTTGTTAAAATGCGACCGTCTAATTTCGGGACACCCTGTATAATGTTTTTAAATTTCAATTTTACTCAGACTTGCTACAAACATTATAAATTAATGTAATGTAGTTAAATAAATAAATCTAATTTGAATCGATTTAGCAAAAATGTGTTTTAAAACCTATTTCCAGCCTTGGAATATTTAAAAAAGAAACAATTGCCTACATTTTTACTTCAAGGCATAAGCTTATGTTTGTTTATAAAAGCATGGATGATCAATCTATATAACTATCTATATCATAGACTCTATCAAACCACCATGCCCACAGTGTTGCCATATTATAACCGGTCAGTGACCTGTCATTTCAAACGTCAGCCATTTTGTTTGGAATGCCTAATTGTGTATTTGTGTATAGAAAACAAAACTTACCCAACTCTGGATGTCTCATGAATCCAACGTTAAACGAAATTTTCTCTATAGCTTCTGAAAACGTTAATCCAGTTTGCACCAGAGCAGCGACAACTTTTTCAACAGCCCTAGGAGAATTGACGACGCTCTGCAGTTCAAAAAAATCGTCGATACAAGTTATAAGCTTATTTTGCATCCTATGATATGCAAAACCATTGATTAATGCTGGATAAATATGAGAAAATAGTAAATCTAGAAAAAAAAAACTATTTAGTTATTAAGGAATTTGTTTAACGGTGTGGCCTATAATACAAAAGAAGTTCTATGATAGGAAATAATAAGATAACAGAGTTGAAATAATAATATTCTCCCTATAATTCACAACCTTACGAGTGAATTTTAAACCCAAAAGCTCTACTTACTACTATTAAATATGGTATTAATGAAATAATACTTGTTACATGCTGTAGGAATCTTTAGGCGTTGAACGCACCGAGTTAACTTAGTTGCCCTCTAGCGGCCAAGCGAAGCAAGTTGGTATACAGGTAAGTTTGGTTGAATCAACTAATTTTGAGCTCATAAATCTGTGGTAGTTCCATGTACAAGAAAGTTCCGGACACCCCGTATATGAGATGGGTACGTAATTCCTTGGGGATGCTACTAATCGGGACAATCTTTTTTGGGCCAGGATGGCCAAGATTAAGTAGTTGAAAGGATGTAACCATGGAAACTTGTATAAAAGGTTAGTTTATATTATATTGGGAGAAATGAAAAAGGGGATAAGATTATTGTATGTATGTGAGAAAATAAACTCCAATCAATGGTAAAATATTGTGTTCGTTATTAAATTGAGTCCATCCATGAAAGAATAAAATTTTCAGTGATCAATAATTCCAAGGAGGAGAGGTGTATGAAGCTGATCAGGGACTCGAAGGGGGAGTGGGGGGTTGACAGAGAAGGTAGTGAAGCTGAGAAGAAAGAGCAGTTTCTTTTTAATTTATCGAACCTAATCAACATTTTAAAATTTTAGGTACAACTTATAGAACCTGCCCCGACAGATTTTTCCTGGTAGGTAGCGTCTGGTGTGGACGGCGTCTCCATATAGATATATCTTAGATAAAAGAGACCGGAGATGTAACATTGCACATCGCGCATGTTGTCTATTCCAACCCTAAGTAACCCACTAATTAAAAATCATTGTGTTCACGACGCCACCCGAATTGTTCCGAAAGTTCACCTACTTAAAATTTCAAGGTTCATTTAATTTGCGGTTAAATCGGAAGTGACATTTGAATCTTAAGTCTTACAACAAAGTAAAACGCGTACCTAATATGATCTAGTATAAGCAAAAAAATAGGAAAGTTACGGGAATTAGTCATATTATTAGTAAAATGTTACATTATAAACCCCTAAACAACTCGAAAAAAATCTTCGTTTACTAAAAAAAATCTAAATTCTAGCAATATTTATTATACGATTGTATGCGGTTTCAAAGATAACAGGATCAATAAATTCGAATCTCTAAATTTTGGGGCTAAATGCTCGGATAAAAGCATGCGACCGACAGGGGTTACAAAAATAATCGATTTATAGTTTTCATGAAAATCAATTTATCCGTTATAATTAATCGATTATTTTTAATGGATTATTTTTGATTAATCGAACATTTTCAATAAATTATTTTCGTTTTTTTAGGTAACGGAATAATCGATTATAAAGGAATTACAAGAAGAGTAGATTTATTCAAAATATTCGATTTATTGAAAATAATCGATTTTTTTAGAAAAATCGATTTATTGTTTACGACTTTTTAAATTAATCGATTATTTTCGATTTACCGAATATTTTCGATTAATCGATTATTTTCGATTAATCGATAATTTTCGATTTTTCAAAGTTATTCGAATAATTTATAAAATAAAATTATAAAAATAATCGATAGATCGAATATAATCGGTTATATTATATAATCGATATTTCGGTTATTTTTTAGAATTATCGATTTATCGGTCAATCAGCTTTTTATTAATCGATTATTTTCGATTTTTCAAAGAAAATTTAATAATCAATTTTAAAAGGAATATGAAAAAGAAAAGGATTATTTGTAAATAATCAATAAATCAGTTATTTTTTTGGAAAATCGATTTATCGTAAAATCGACTTCTTAATTAATTTGTTATTTTTGCTTAATTGGTTATTTTCGATTAACCGAATATTTTCGATTAATCGATTATTTTCAATTTTTCAAAGGTATTCGAATAATTTGTTTTAAAAGAAATGCGAAAAAAAATAGATTATATGAAAATAATCGATTGATCGAATATAATCTGTTATTTTATATAATACATATTTCGGTTATTTTTTAGAATTATCGATTTATCGGTCAATCAGCTTTTTATTATACGATTATTTTCGATTTTTCAAAGACAATTAAATAATCAATTTTAAATTAAATATGAAAACAAAAGAATTATTTGAAAATAATCGATAATTCAGTTATTTTTTTGGAAAATCGATTTATCGTAAAATCGACTTCTTAAATAATTGGTTATTTTCCCTTAATCGATTATTTGCGATGTTTCAAAAATGATCGAATAATTGATTCTAAAGGAAATAATTCTTTTTTTTTTTTTTGAAAAATCGATTTATCGATTATTCGACTTTTTAATTAATCGATTATTTTTGATTAATCGATTATTTTAGATTTTTCAAAGATTATCGAATAATCTGTTTCAATGGAAACACGAAAAAAAAATAGATTATTTAAAAATAATCGATTATTTAAAATAAACGATAATTCGTTTATTATTTTTTGTAAATACTGATTTATCGGTTAATTGGCTTTTTAATTAATCTATTATTTTTGATTTTTCAGAGATAATCAAGTAGGAAATACGAACAAAAATAGATTGTTTGAAAATAATCGATTGATCTAAAATAATCGATTATTATTAATGATCAATAATTTATTTCGATAATCACTCACTCCTTGCGACCAAATGACTTTTAATAGGTTTAAATTTTAAAATGTTATCTGGTTTCAGACACGCATGTCTAGAGTTTTATGTGACTCATCCTCTATATTAATTAATATTCCTAAAGAAACAAGCTTTAATATATCTTTTTCTGAGGTTATAATACAAAACAGCATTTTCTCATTTTGACTAATTTTTAATATTATGTGATAGTCGTAGAACAAATATAATGTTCAACTCACAAGGTTTGATTTGCAGTATTCGCCTGCGCACATGCTTTTTTTATAATACTCTTAGACAATGAGTACCATTTCATATTCGATTAACAATATTCTATTTCAACATTTTACTGTAATCTCTTACAGAAAAGTCCGTAGTAAATAATAGCTAACGAAATATTCTATAAAAGGTCTTCTCTTTACATAAAATGTCGTGGCATCTGTTTGATATTAAAAAATCACGTTAAATTTATTTCATAATATAAAATTCCATTAAACGTATATTTTAATAGTTCATTATGATGCTAATTAACAAAGTCCGGTCCCTGTCACAGAGTTCGGGTCCTTGCTCAGTTCCCCCACTCCGTTAACCTTTCTTTAGAAATTGGCAATATTTGCGCAGGTTAAACACCGGTGTATGTTATATCTCTGGTCTCTTTTATCTAAGAGATATATGTATGCTTCGATATTGAAATTTAGTACATCTACTTAAAAAGGTTTGCCAGCTGGAAAGGTAATACTAATACAAACTATACAGTTCATACAACTTTCAAACGACATTTTTGGACATACAACATTTGAGGAGCTATGGAGCAAAACAGAATAAATTCACCATAAACGATTTTTGAGAAACTGCACAAAAAGTTCTGGGGTTTTCGTTTGTTTTGTTAAAAAATACTATTGGAGACGTTATTAATAATACAATGATACAATACAATAATTGCAATGATAATTTTGAAAAACTATTTTTATTAAAAATATAACAAACTGTTGTTATAAACACATTTAGTTTATAAGTAATACTTTCCATTATATAAGTTCGAGTCTATTTGTTGATCAAGAAGCAAAAGCAATATCAATTGTCAGATGCCATAAAAGTCGAACAAGACGAAGTGCTTTAGGTAGAAACAAGTTAATATGTAGAAACGCCATTCATTTTGTTACACATTTTTGTATTTTATATGTTTATAAAAGTTAGTAAATGTTATATAAGTAATCATCTGCGTTTATATGTTAGAAGATAACTACAAGACAAACAAAAATGGATTTATTGAATTTTATTCAAATCAAAACTACGCGCACTAATATAACAGGAAAAACAACTAAAAATAAAGAAATATAAACTGAATTTTCTTAAAAAAATGAATTCATTCCGTTTTGCTCCAAAGCTCTTAATTTGTCCTCTTACCCACCGATATATCATATTGTAAAACATAATTGCAAATAAAGACATTATACAGGGTGTCCCGAAATTAGACGGTCATATCTTAACAGCGTAATCTACATCCTAAAATAGGAGTAAAAGTTCATATAAACATAGGTCCGAAAACGTTTCTTTTTCGAGATACAGGGTGTTGCAAGTGAAATCCTGATGGCACATTTTTGTAAATATTTTCTAAAATTTCTTTAGTCACTGGTTTTCCAAAGTTCACAGGCCTACTAATTATTGGTACACTTTCGAATAAGATAACATCAACTTATCATAAAATTTTCAAATGCTTTTCTCTTGAAAATGGTGCGTCCTAGCGAGATGCAACAGAGGTAGCTTTATTATAAAGAAAATATTGGTGTTCCAAATTGTGTAGTCAAAAATGTTAACACCAGTCAACAAAAAAACTTAGGGAAATTTTACCCTAAGCCCCCCCTAATTTACCCACCTATGAAGATGATCAAAAACTGGGGATTAGACCATTAAATAGAGCATAAAAAGTTAAGCAATTGTACCAAATTTTACTTAGTTATCTTAAAACGTTTAGAAAATATTTACAAAAAAGTGTCATCATGACTTCACTTTTAACACCCTGTATCTCGGAAGAAACGTTTTCGGACCTATGTTTATATGAACTTTTACTCCTATTTTAGGATGTAGATTACGCTGTTAAAATATGACTGTCTAATTTCGGGACACCCTGTATATATATTTTTTTAAGACGGGTTGTAAAAAGAATGCTGTAAACTCAGTTTAGCTAATAGGATTTTCATTTTTAACTGGTTATATTCAAAGTATAAATGGCATTTTTAAAACTATATTTAACAAAAAACGATGATTATACGAGGTTCACAGTTAAAAACTAATATTACATTTTAACTACCTATTGTATAACCCGCCCTAAGGGGCAGTTTTTTTTTACTTCCGAGGTTTATTTACACCACTAGACGTTAAAAAATAAGCCAAGATTAAACTGACATATTTCCAATAACATTGTTATTTTAGGTTTCCCTTATTTCTTCCTGGCGGCACTGCAGCCTGCGGCTTATTGTACCACCATTTGAAGGGCCTACTACTTTCCAATACATCAATTCACTCCCTCATTCATCGTCATTCATTCCACGTTAACGGCTAGTCGGACGAGTCCCATGGTGGAACCTCACAGTGGTCACCCATCCACGACGTGAAGATATTACTGCTTAACTGTTACGAGTATGTGGATCCACACTAAGCTCGCGGCTAGCCTCTCCGGCTCCCCCATTTCTTAAAAACTAGAGGTGCAAATGGCGCTAAGTAAAATTGAAAATAATTACTCTCTGATTAGGCTACAGGTTATAGTTCGCTAATCTGTCAAGTAACTCTACATGTAACTTTACTCAGATAAAAAAAACGGCAATATTAATGCAATAAAGGTAGAATAAAGCTTACGGAATCGCAAAGTGAAGTTATATATACTCTCCATTTCACTCTTTTGCAGGTCCCAACATTTTCTCGTATATGCAGCAATATTAACATTATGCGACATTTTGCAATTATTTCTAGTACATTTTTCATTAAAAAAGTACTTAAAACACAAGCCAGAAAAAAATGGATTAACATCTTTAAAATTCATTCGAGTTCCTGAAAAAAAAAAAATAATAAATAAATAAAAATACATGCAAAACTTAAACGTAGTGAAAATTATATCGACTTAGTTTTGTTTTAAAGTATTTAGTTACCAAGAATTGTAGTACGAGGAGCATTTTCCCTAGTCTGAGCTGAAGAAATGGAATTATTTGTCATCAAACTTGGGGTTATGGGTACTTGTGACGATATCCAATCTGTAACATATGACCTACTGTTATCAACATTACCAACATCAAATACGTCATTGTCCAGTGAAGCATGAACTTCTTCCATTTCGAATCTATCTATAGAAGATCTGAAATAAAAGGATAATTTTATAAAAAATGGAGAATTTTTAAAAATGTAATACCCCAACAGGTTTTACACAGTGGCGGTCATACGGGAGGGGGAGCATAGCTCCCCTCGGTCTACATTTAATTGAATATACAGTAACGAATATAAATTTAACAAATACTGCGATTGCAGTGGAGTACTTGATGGTCAGATGCGTTTTTACAGCAGTGTTGTCAAATTAAAATTTGTAATCAAGCCACTTTAACTTTTTTCGCTTAATTTGGACTGAACTAACCCATTTTTGCTTCTATCACGTAAATTTGTTTTGTAAACCAATATTGAGGTATTATCTCTGAATATTCGCAGAAAATTAAATTCCTTCTTTTTGTTCGAAATATTGAGACACGCTGTAAAACCTCGTTTTAAATTGCAGATCTGTAGGGGAATTCAACATAAGCATCTATACTAAGCTTTGAGAGCGATATAATGCGCTAATTCAGTGTGATGTCATTTTGGTTCCACTGACATTTAATTCTAACCAAACTTTTAACAAAAACATCAATAAATTTGACATATACGTTTTGACTGTTTTTATTTTATTTCAAAATATTGTTTACATGTCATAAAAAATAGTTTAAAGGTATGTAATCGGTAACTAAACGATTGTATATTTGATACATGCTATCTACTTATTTTAGGAATATATTTATAAAAGTGAAAAAACGATATAATTTAGGTAAACAAAACAAACAAAACGCACTCAAAAAACCTACTGTCACTTTAATTGTCAGTGGAACCATAATTACATCATCACTGAACTAGCGGATTAAGTGTTAAGTGGTGCTCAAGCAGATTTTGTTTATCTATTTCTATCAGAGTTTTGTTGCATACTTTCTATAAAAAGGTTTAGTATAGTATGTTTAATACAAATCCCGCTGTACGTCATCAATGACGGTCTTTCGTCAATGTACTACCAACTAATTCAAATGTCCCTAAGGGCCGATTCCACCGTTGTGTTAAACGGAGATTAAAATGACATTGTTAATGTAAAAGTGTCATTTTAAACTTCGTTTTACACAACGGTGGAATCGGTCCTATCTAAGCTAATAATCCGAAAATGTCACGAATATTCACGAGCATTCATGAACGTAGTCATATTAGTAAAAAAACCGAATTATGCGATTGTGATTATTTGATAATTTTATAATTATTTTAATTAATTTGCTTTGTTTTACTCAAAAAAACATACTTTACATTAAATAATTTTGACATTCTGTACGCCCATGAAACTCGTATTTATGAAGAAGAAATGTTATTATGGCAATTGTATACATCGTTGCTGCGATGTCAATATTATTTAAAAAAATTTCACTTACTCAAGTCAGGTTTTAGGTTACGTTTACACGTAGATTTTTAAAACAAACAGTGTGAGAAAAGACTGATTATTAGTCTTTTATTTCTACATACAAAACTCCGAGCTCGGAGATACAAAATGCCAAAAAACTAAATAGTCGTAACAGTATTTTGAACGAGAGCGTGATAATGATTCATCACTATTACCTTCAACCTTCAACTTTGTAAGTGCCATATGAGAAAAATTATAGAAATGTATAGAAATATGAAATTGATTTCTTGTCTGTTTTAGCGTGTTGCAGCAACCAAATATTTCTGTTAGTAGTATTTCGCAAGAATATTGAATGTTTAAAATCGCTACTTAAAAAGCATTCCTATAAACAAATTGTTATTAATACAATAACGCTGGATACGAGTGGAATCCGAAATGGTATTTATAACATTTATGAAACAAGTAAGTATAAAGACAAATCTATTTATCCAATCTTAATTTATTTATATTACCTATAAAAGTTTAAATTTGTATACCTGTCTATAGTAATATAAATACATACTTATTTGCAGGACAACATATAACTTTGGAACCTTTCAAAGAAAAGTCGATTGAGAAGCAAATGTTTAATGGCTAAATTGCATCATTGTCTATAGAGATCATACAATTAAATTGAAAAAATTTGATTAGAGTGTTCAATAAAAATCTACATGTTTTTCACTTTCTCAAGATCTACAGTGAAAACCAAAACTGCCATTTTAATTTTCAGAAGTACTTTAGAACTATCAAAAAATTAAAAATGAAGTTACAATTATAAGATTTGCTATAACGATGTACCTACCATTAAATATTTGATATGATGCGTCGTTTCGATATCACAATTTAGAATATAGCGATATTGACACATGTTATATGAAATAGCAACTAGAAATAAATAAAACATACTTTTTTAGGTACAATTACATTTTTTTAATTACAATTACTTTTAAATGCGTCTTTATGAGATGAACGTGATATAAAAACAAGACATTTCCTATTCGAACCAGTCACAACAGCCCAAAATAATAACAGTAAGTAGTTGCAGATATCCTTATTTTTGGGACGTACTTTGTATTTATATTATTATAAACATAATTTATGTTGCATAAACATTATAAACTAAGAAAATATAGTATGAAGTGGTGCAAATAGCAGTTTTTATGGAGAAAATACTCAAAACTACTTATTTACGATGCGTAGATATTTCTAGTTATTCTAGTTTTCTACATTGAAATGAAGGATTAACTATTTTAATGAAAGTTACTTTAGCGTTACAAATATTTGATTTTAACGTAGGAAATGGAATATTTTAATTAAATTAATAGTACTTGTAACGGAATATAAATATATTTTATGTTATAAGAAATTATTTGATGATGTAGATCTATAACCAAATTTGAGTTTCTCTCATTTTTGTTTGTACGAACGAGATACAGAACGATACATTTTAGATTATTCAATATAATTTTAATATTATGTACAGGGCGATTCATTAAGGGTGGCGACCGGTCGTATCTCAGAATATCTTGAAGTTAATTTTTTTTTTAAAGGAATACAAAAACAGGTCGATTTTTATTTCAAGGGGGACACCTTTCTATAATATCCTCAACTGTCATATATCAATCCTCTCCCCTACGTCAATCTTTTTTTTTTTTTTTTTTTTTTTTTTTTTTTTTTTTTTTTTTTTTAATGGCACTGGATAAAACCAAAAGGCCAGACTATTGTAGTAATCCATAACTGTTTAATTGTTTTATCCACTATTGTTACATGATTACATTATTATTATATTTTGACTTACAGCTATCAAAATACCTGAGTTTGTAATAACCAATACAATTTAAATAGGGAAAGTACCCAGTATGACACATCGTCGGAAAGGTAATTTTATGGGGAATTCAGCAATATATATATGTGTGTGTGTGTGTGTGTGTGTGTGTGTGTGTGTGTGTGTGTGTGTGTGTGTGTGTGTGTGTGTGTGTGTGTGTGTGTGTGTGTGTGTGTGTGTGTGTGTGTGTGTGTGTGTGTGTGTGTGTGTGTGTGTGTGTGTGTGTGTGTGTGTGTGTGTGTGTGTGTGTGTGTGTGTGTGTGTGTGTGTGTGTGTGTGTGTGTGTGTGTGTGTGTGTGTGTGTGTGTGTGTGTGTGTGTGTGTGTGTGTGTGTGTGTGTGTGTGTGTGTGTGTGTGTGTGTGTGTGTGTGTGTGTGTGTGTGTGTGTGTGTGTGTGTGTGTGTGTGTGTGTGTGTGTGTGTGTGTGTGTGTGTGTGTGTGTGTGTGTGTGTGTGTGTGTGTGTGTGTGTGTGTGTGTGTGTGTGTGTGTGTGTGTGTGTGTGTGTGTGTGTGTGTGTGTGTGTGTGTGTGTGTGTGTGTGTGTGTGTGTGTGTGTGTGTGTGTGTGTGTGTGTGTGTGTGTGTGTGTGTGTGTGTGTGTGTGTGTGTGTGTGTGTGTGTGTGTGTGTGTGTGTGTGTGTGTGTGTGTGTGTGTGTGTGTGTGTGTGTGTGTGTGTGTGTGTGTGTGTGTGTGTGTGTGTGTGTGTGTGTGTGTGTGTGTGTGTGTGTGTGTGTGTGTGTGTGTGTGTGTGTGTGTGTGTGTGTGTGTGTGTGTGTGTGTGTGTGTGTGTGTGTGTGTGTGTGTGTGTGTGTGTGTGTGTGTGTGTGTGTGTGTGTGTGTGTGTGTGTGTGTGTGTGTGTGTGTGTGTGTGTGTGTGTGTGTGTGTGTGTGTGTGTGTGTGTGTGTGTGTGTGTGTGTGTGTGTGTGTGTGTGTGTGTGTGTGTGTGTGTGTGTGTGTGTGTGTGTGTGTGTGTGTGTGTGTGTGTGTGTGTGTGTGTGTGTGTGTGTGTGTGTGTGTGTGTGTGTGTGTGTGTGTGTGTGTGTGTGTGTGTGTGTGTGTGTGTGTGTGTGTGTGTGTGTGTGTGTGTGTGTGTGTGTGTGTGTGTGTGTGTGTGTGTGTGTGTGGTGTGTGTGTGTGTGTGTGTGTGTGTGTGTGTGTGTGTGTGTGTGTGTGTGTGTGTGTGTGTGTGTGTGTGTGTGTGTGTGTGTGTGTGTGTGTGTGTGTGTGTGTGTGTGTGTGTGTGTGTGTGTGTGTGTGTGTGTGTGTGTGTGTGTGTGTGTGTGTGTGTGTGTGTGTGTGTGTGTGTGTGTGTGTGTGTGTGTGTGTGTGTGTGTGTGTGTGTGTGTGTGTGTGTGTGTGTGTGTGTGTGTGTGGTGTGTGTGTGTGTGTGTGTGTGTGTGTGTGTGTGTGTGTGTGTGTGTGTGTGTGTGTGTGTGTGTGTGTGTGTGTGTGTGTGTGTGTGTGTGTGTGTGTGTGTGTGTGTGTGTGTGTGTGTGTCTGTGTGTGTGTGTCTGTGTGTGTGTGTGTGTGTCTGTGTGTGTGTGTGTGTGTGTGTGTGTGTGTGTGTCTGTGTGTGTGTCTGTGTGTGTGTCTGTGTGTGTGTCTGTGTGTGTGTCTGTGTGTGTGTCTGTGTGTGTGTCTGTGTGTGTGTGTGTGTGTGTCAGTGTGTGTGTGTCAGTGTGTGTGTGTCAGTGTGTGTGTGTCAGTGTGTGTGTGTCAGTGTGTGTGTGTCAGTGTGTGTGTGTCAGTGTGTGTGTGTCAGTGTGTGTGTGTCAGTGTGTGTGTGTCAGTGTGTGTGTGTCAGTGTGTGTG